TGCTCTGCAAACCCCAGAAGTCCTTTAAGTCAAGTTTAAGAACCCCATCCTGGTGCTAAATTAGGGTGTAAATGACTAATTAACTGCTGTAATTTGTGCTCCCCGGAGGGTTTTTCTGCAGCAATCACCTCACAGGGACTGGGGTGGCTGAGCTGGAAAATTCCTGATATTCAGCTGGTTTGTCCAGCCTGAGATTTCAACTTCCAAGCAATAAATCATTTTCCAAGCTGCTTTTTCTGCGGGGCTTGGGGAGATATTAACAGGTCTTGGCTGCAGACTGGGAATTTTGGGAGCTGCAGTGATGAAGCTTTGCAGATTTGATGTTCCCTCTGCACCTCCTGCCAGCAAATTGAGGGATTTTAGGACACTTAATACAACTTAATAACCCATTTGGAAATTAAAAAGGGAACATATATATTTTTTTTTTTTAAATATAGGATATGTATAATAAATAAATGAGATCCCAGTTGGATTTTCCAGCCCTCCTGGTCTGGCAACACTGGTGCTGGTGGAGCTCTTTTAATGAGCAAGTTATTTTAGGAGCTGCAGGAGGTTATTCCCACTATAGATCATTTTTACAGCTGCTTTCAAGCAGAGGATGCTTTGCAGAAAAAGGGGAATTGTTTTGTGTTAAATATCCCAAATTCTGCCCAGCTTGTGATTAATCCCAGGGCTCTTCCTTACCATTGGGATTTGCTCACTCTGGGTGGTTCTGGCTTTGCTCACTTTGAGTTTTGAGATAAGAAATTATATTTTTCCTTCATTCTACACCCTGGGCTGCATTCCTGGTCCTCCATCCTCATGGAAACTCCCTCCCCCAGTTTGTAGGTGGGTGGTGATGCCCAGAAATGAATCCAGGTGCAAAGGAGGAAAGGCCAGAGTTGGGTTTTTATTCTGTGTGTGGCTGAAAAATCAGCTTGGACTCACTGTAGGCACTGCTGAGCTTCTCTTTCCTGAAATATGGGGGGGAAAAATGGATTTTCTGCTTGTTTTCCAAGTGAACTAATTCCCAGGGAGAGCTGGAGGCTGGACAGGGATATTTGATGTGCTCAAAAACAAATGATGTGGCAACTTTTAAAGTGCCAGAGGGAGCTGTTTGTCCCCCACTTTTCAGGATGCTGAGAAGCTGCATCAGGGCTGTCCCTGAGCACATATTCTGCCAGCCTTGACTCCTCAATTTCCTGCAATTGTTGGAGTGTTCAGAGTAACTCCTTGGTTTTGTTTTCCAGGCTGGTTGTGCCCAGGCTGAAACAAGTCCTGGGGAAGGAAGGGATGGTTGAGTTTCAAGGAAAGCCTTTTTTTCCTGCACAAACCCACGGTGGGTCCTGCAAAAAAATCCACTGGGAGAATGTGTTACCCAGAGAAGCTGTGGCTGCTCCAGCCCTGCAAGTGTCCAAGGCCAGGTTGGAGCAACCTGGTTTAGTGGAAGGTGTCCCTGCCCATGGCAGGGGGTGGCACTGGATGATCTCCAAGGTCCCTTCCCACCCAAACCATCCCATGTTCTTGCCCATCTCTGGCAGCTCCAGCTCCATCCCACCAGCAGCACTGGGGGTCTCAGACCCTCCTCAGCTCCAGCCCAGAGGCAGCTGAAAGACTTGGGTTTAACCTGTCACTGTAATGGATTCAAATGCCAGGGAGTGGGGTGAGATGGGATTTGGGGAAGGCCCTGGCACAGGTTGCCCAGAGAAGACCTGAGAGCCCCTTCCAGGGCCTAAAGGGGCTCCAGGAGAGCTGGAGAGGGACTGGGGACAAGGGGTGGAGGGACAGGACAAGGGGGAATGGCTTCCCACTGCCACAGGGCAGGGGTAGAGGGATATTGGGAAGGAATCCTTCCCTGTGAGGGTGGGGAGGAGCTGGGATGGAATTCCCAGAGCAGCTGTGGCTGCCCCTGGATCCCTGGAAGCATCCAAGGCCAGGTGGGAGGACCCTGGTCTAGTGGAAGCTGTAGAAAGGAGGTAGAAAGGGATCTCTAAGTCCCTTTAACCCAAACCATTCCAGGATTCTGGAATTCTATGAATTAAACCACTTCCCCATTTGCTCTCAACAAATCCATTGTGGCCATGCTGAGTTTTTCCGAGGCAGTTTCGTGTCCTCTGGCAAAGACATTCTGGAAATCACTTGCAGGGAGCAGAAAGAGGGGTGATTTAGGGGAGCAATCTGCAGACCGATGCTCCTCTGAGCCCTCACACTTCATATCCAATCACTCTGCTGGAAACACTTGGGGAAATGAGGCACATTCCATTCTGCTTCCCTAATTTCTGATGAAAATCAGGACCCCAGTTTGATTTCAGACACATCCTGGCTGTGAACATTTCCCTGGGCCTACCTGGCTCCTCATTCAGGTTCTTCCTCAGCTTGTTCCCAGCTTTTTGCTGCTTGCCAGGAGGAATTTTGCCCTTTTATGTGCCTGAAACAAGTTCCTGCTTTTCATACATTTAAGTAGCTGTTGTCAGGTCTCAGGCACAGGAAAACACGGAGTTTTCCAGGGCTTGGAGATATTGGTTTGTGCTGCTTGCCTGGATGGGCTTTGCTGCCTTTTTCCTCCCAAATTCCCACCTTGCTGAAAATTTGAGACCAAGAAATGCAGCAGGTTGCTCTGGGCACACTGAGGATGCAGCTCCTTTTGGGTCCTTCTTGGTGGGAATCTGGGTTTTCAATCCCAGGCACGGGAAAACCAACCCTCTGCTCAGGGTTTGCAATGCAAGAAGAAAGCTGGGAATGCCGATTCCCCCCAAAAAAATCAGCCCCAGGCTCCCAGACCTGCCTTTTCTCCCTGTTTTACACACTCTCCTCCAGCTTCCCCCTGGCAGATTTGCTTTTCTGGTTGTTCCAGGGTGTGGATCAAAGGCTAAAAATTAAGCTATTAAAATAAAAAATAATTTCTCTAATTCACCCAAACCTGAAAGGGGCTTTTCCAGCTGATCCTAAACATTCTCAGATGCCCCTGAAACAGAGCCAACACTGGGTAGGAACAATTCCTGCTGGTGTTATGGCTTTTTTATTGATTATTCTCTAATTCTCCTCCCATCTCCTACAGGAGAGCTCGGCTACATCCAATTTATTTTCAGGAGAGGGTTTTGTAACCACTCCAAGCAAAACAAAGCCTGTTTTTAAGGGCAGGAGAGCATCATCCACGTCCAGCTCTGCTTCCCGAGCTGGCAGCCCCTGAGCTGTGGCAGCACCATCACCCCTGGAAGGGAATATCAGGAATATCAGAGCCAGTTCAGCTCCGAGGCATCAGCTCCAAACGTGCTGGCACGAGACAAGCCCCCCTCACCCTCCTCGCCTGGATCCACAGCCAAAAAAATGTCTTTTATTCCTCGGGAAGAGGGACCAAACGAGGCATAGCAGAGTCAGGAATGTGCAGCATGGGAAAAATCTGTTGCACTTGTAAGGCTGAAGATTCAGTTCCAAAGGGAACTGAGAAGCTGTTTGAGAGCCGGGATTTATCAGCAATGCTGGGGTGAAGTGCCATTAAATAGAGATTTTTTTAACTGGAGGCTCCCGGGGCAGGGCTGGTCTGTGCCCCTCGAGGGCGGCGACAAAGGAGTGTCCCCGGGGCCACCAGCACCAGCTGAACTTTAGATCGTGGCACAACAGGAGCTCTGCTGGCAGATCCCAACCACAGCTCGAGCTCTGCCAGCAGATCCCAACCCTCGGGCACGACCAGGCAGGGAAAAACCAACTGAGCCACAGCCAAACCCCGAGAGAAATCCCTGGCACCTGCCTGTTCCCTTGACCCCCCTGACGACATCGAGGTGGGTTTCCTTGAGGACATCCCCCACCCCACCAAGTCAGGATGTATTTGCAGAGCCTGAGCTTCTCCCAAGGCTCCTTGGATGGTTCCCAACGCAGACCAAGAGCTACGAAACTGCAGCACAATGAGGCACCTCCAACACAATGATTTTCTGCCAGGGGGTAATGCCATTTTGTGCTAAATCTTGAGTTTGCTCTTAACTGAGGGGGTGGAGAGGGGATGGATGGCTCTGCAGAGGGGCTGGGAGGGAGAGGGTGCTACAAATGCACCCTCAAGACAGGCCACCAACGTGCACCAGCCTTTCCTGAGCTCCTTTTGCAGCGCTGACAAAGGATTCCCAAAGCCAACCAGGGTGGAGAGGGGGGTTATTTTTAGTGCTGTTTTATCAAAAAATTCTAGTTGCAGTATTCTCCCATGAGTGGAGATCACACAGAGCCACGTGGAATCACAAGATCACAGAATTAACCAGGTTGGAAAAGACCTCTGAGATCATCGAGTCCAACCCTTGATCCAAACCCCACCTTGTCCCCCCAACATGGCACTCAGATCCAGGCTCTGCTCAAACCCCTCCAGGGACGGGGACTCCCCCCCCTCCCTGGGCAGCCCATTCCAAGGGCTGATCCCTCTCTCTGGGAAGAACTTCTTCCCCAGGGCCAACCTAAACCTACCCTGGGGCAGCTCCAGGCTGTGCCCTCTTGTCCCACTGCTGGTTCCTGGGAGCAGAGCCCGACCCCCCCCGGCTCCCCCCTCCTGTCAGGGAGTTGCAGAGAGTGAGAAGGTCTCCCCTGAGCCTCCTCCTGTCCAGGCTGAGCCCCCCCAGCTCCCTCAGCCTCTCCTCACAGCACTTGTGCTCCACACCCTTCCCCAGCCTCGCTGCCCTTCTCTGGCCCTGCTCCAGCCCCTCCATGTCCTTCCCAACCTGAGGGCCCAGAGCTGGGCACAGCACTCCAGGGGTGGCCTCCCCAGTGCCCAGGGCAGGGGCACAATCCCTGCCCTGCTCCTGCTGCCACACTATTCCTGAGCCAGGCCAGGCTCCATTGGCCTCTTGCCCCCCTGGGCCCCCCTGGCTCCTGTTCAGCTGCTGTCAGTCAGTCCCCCCAGGGCCCTTTCTGTCCCCCCACTCTGGCCCAGCCCGTGGGGCTGCCGGGGGTTGTTGTGGCCAAAGGGCAGGACCCGGCCCTTGGCCTTGTTAAGCATCAAAGCACACCTGGCCTGTGGGGAGGGTGTGACCCTCACCACTCACCTGTCCAGGGCGATGGCCGTCATGGAGTAGATGCTGGCGAAGACAGCAGCGATGGGGAAGAAGTTGTGGAAGCGGCAGTAGAAGAGCCCGTAGTACCACTCGTTGTGGATGGCGTAGGTGAAGTTCACCACGGTGTTGAAGGCAGCCATGGAGGCCTCGGCAAACGCCAGGTTCACCAGGAAGTAGTTGGTGACCGTCCTCATGCGCTTGTGGGCCAGGATGATCCACATCACCACCACGTTCCCCACCACCGCCACCACCACGATCAGCGCGTAGGCCACGGCCCACAGGGCCACCTGCCACGGGGGCTGCACAAACTGGTTGGACAGGGACTCATTCAGGGAGCTGTTGGACAACCACTGCTGCTCCAGCTCCACTTCCATGGGCAGAGCGTCATCCATCGCGTCCCCGCAGAGCCAGAGCCAGCACACGGATGGGGGGGCTGCAGATCCCTCCTGGTTTAGGGCACAGCAGGATTGGGGGGCAGGTCCCTTCCAGCTTAGAGTGCAGGGATGCTTTGGGGTGCAGGTCCCTCCCAGTTTAGGGCACAGCAAGATCAGGGCACGCAGATGGTTTAGGGTGCAGATCCCTCCTGGTTTAGGGCACAGGGATGCTTTGGCGTTCAAGTCCGTCCTGGTTTAGGGTACAGATGTTTTGGGGTGCAGGTTCCTCCTGGTTTAGGGCACACAGATGTTCTGGGGTGCAGGTCCCTTCCAGCTTAGAGTGCACAGATTCTTTGGGGTGCAGATCCCTCCTGGTTCAGGGCACAGCAGGATCAGGGGCCAACAAGTCTGGGGCAGACCCCTGTTTTGGAGTGCAGGTCCCTCCTGGTTCAGGGTGCAGCCAGTTTGGGGTGCAGGGCTGGTCCAGGACAGGGCACCTCCCAGTCCAGGGGCAGCTGGTTTGGGGTGCAAGGCTGGTCCAGAGCACAGGTCCCTTCTGGTTCAGGGTGCAGCCCCTTTGGGGTGCCCCCCCCTGTCTCCAGATGCAGCTAGAACAGGGTGTCCGGCCATGCCCGGGCTTCACTGGTTTAGGGTGTGGGTCCTTCCCAGCTCAGGCACGGCTGGACTGGGGTGCACAGCTGGTTTGGGGTGCGGGTCCCTCCTAATTCGGGCACAGCTGGTTTGGGGTGCGGGTCCCTCCTAATTCGGGCACAGCTGGTTTGGGGTGCGGGTCCCTCCTAATTCGGGCACAGCTGGTTTGGGGTGCGGGTCCCCCCGGGCTCGGCTGCAGCTTCACCGGGGTGCAGATTCCTCCCGATTCAGGGCATTCGGGGACCCGGGTCCTTCCCAGCTGAGCCAGACGCGGGTCCCTGCCGGTTCTGGGTGCGAGTCCCTCCCGGTTCAGGACCAGAGCACGGGGCGGGTCCTGCCCGTTCAGGACCAGAGCAGGATTCTGGATCCAGGTACCTTCCGGCTCCGGGCTGGAGCAGGGTGGGGGTTCCCCTCGGTCCGGGTGCAGTCGGTTCAGGATTCGGGTGCCCCCGGTTCAGGACCGGCGCAGGATGCGGGATGCACGCGCCTCCCGGCTCGGGACCGGCGCAGGGTGCGGGTTCCCCCGGTACGGGATGCAGCCGGTGCAGAACAAGGATCCTCCTCGTTTGGGATGCAGCCGGTTCGGAACGCGGATCCTCCCTGGATCGGGATTCGGTCGGTTCGGGGTGCGGCCGGTTCAGGATGCGGATCCCCTCCGTCGATCGGGATGCAGCCAGTTCCGGATGAGGGTCCCCCGCTGGATCGGGATGCGGCCAGTTCAGGATATGGATTCCCGCCGGTTCGGGATGCAGTTCGCCCCTGGATCGGGATGCAGCCAGTTCAGGATATGGATTCCCGCCGGTTCGGGATGCGGTTCGCCCCTGGATCGGGATGCAGCCAGTTCAGGATATGGATTCCCGCCGGTTCGGGATGCGGTTCGCCCCTGGATCGGGATGCAGCCGGTCCAGGAGCGGAGCAGCCTCGGGTCGCAGCCGGTGCCGCGAATCGACTGCGGCTGTCAAGGCACTACCGGGCCTTTTATAATCGGGGCGGGCGGTGCCAGAGACCGGTGGGCAGAGTCGGCACGGGAAGGGCACTCCCCAGCCCCTGGTCCCCTCCCCCGGTCCCAGTCCCCTCTCCCGGTCCCCTCCGCCCTGCCCGGGGGAACTCTTCTCCCCTCTCCACTCCCGCCTTCCCCGCAGAAGGGGCTATTCCAGCTTCCCCGGCCCCCTCGCCCCCCACTTTCATTCCTCCTCATCCCCGTCCAACCTCTTTGCCCTCCAAAGCTTCCTGTGCTTTGTGTCCTTTTTGGGGGGACTCAGGGAGGTCTGGGCCAAAACGCTCTCAAAAGTCACTGGGAATTTAAACATCCCGATAATAGCAAAGCTTATATATTTTATATTATTTTATTTTATATTTTATATTTTATATTTTATTTTATGAGGGGGGGGGTCTGGGCCAAATACGCTCTCAAAAGTCATCGGGGAAAATCCTGATAATAGTAAAGCTTATATATTTTATAAGTTATATTTTTATATTATATATTTATATATTTTATATATTATATCATATTTCTATATTATAAAGCTTTCCAATATAACATCCATGGGATCTCTCCAAGCAGTTGTGGTCCATGAGTGTTTTGCAACCCCAGTGAACAAAACAAATAACTGAATTCCCAAAGAAGGAAAAGCTCTTCCCTCTCCAGCACAACCTGTTTCCTTCCACTGCAAAGAGGACATTCCATTTCAGTGCCCCTTCTCTCACAAAGCAAACGGCAATTAAAGGGCTGGTGAAACCTTCTGCACTAAAGCCTCATTTTTGCCATGAATTTGGAATCTCATTAAGCTGCAAACAGGGCTTTGCAGCTTCCCACAGGCCTGGTTTAAATCCACCAAACGGGGTGGGGGGGGGGGGTTGACGTGCTCCTCCAGGGGTTTTTATTTACTTGGGTTTTTATTGTGGACAGAACCACAACAATCCGCGTTGCTGCTGCCAGGAAAGGCGCCTCTCCCTCGGGATCCGCTAATGCAATGAGGAGGAACATCGAGCCCAGCGAAGCTGAGCTTGTCCCTCCGGTTTGCTCAGGATGCTCCTAAATCACCCTTCCCTCCCGAGCTGCTGGGAGAGGAACCGCTCCCAGGTAAAGCCGCGGCTCCCTGGAAACTGGGAGGGAGGAACTGGGGTTGGAATCGCAGAGCTGAGCGTGGGCAGGACGGGGGGGATCTGACACCGGAGGAAGCTGAGGGGCTGAAAACCTTTAATCCCCAACATCGTGTCGCTTGTCGAAGGGAGACTGAGCGTTTTAACACCGGGAATATATCCAAGCTCTGCGTTTCCAGCCGTTTCAGGGGCTGGTGGGTGACCACGGAGGGGTCCAGGCGCTCTTCCCGATGCTCCCGGACCACTCGATGGCAGCATTGCTTAAAAATGCGGGAGGAGCAATGGGAGAGCTGGGAAAGGCTCGCTGGGAATTGCATTTCCCACCTCCCCCCCGAGCCCCCGACACGTTATTTTGGGGAATTGCCATAAATTTGGCAAAGGGTGAACCCCAAAGGCAAGGACACCCTGGTTGGGGGCGGAGGAGGGGGGAAGATTCCCGGCTATTCCCAGCGAGTCCTTCCCCACTCCCTCCATCCCTGAATTTGTCCAGGCTGGCAGGATCATCCCAAGGATCAAGGCAGGGCTGAGGGAGCACATTCCTGCCTCCTGCCTCAGTTCTCCCACTGGGAAAAGGGAGGCAAAGCCTTTTCAGCTCCTAGAGGAAAGAACCAACTCTTTTTTCCTTGGCTGCTGCTGTGCAGGGAGTTGGAATTCAGGCTGATGCCTGGATTAGTAGGAATTGGGGCTGGTGTCTGGATCCATTGGAATTGGGGCTGATGCCCAGATCAATTGGAATTGAGGCTGATGTCTGGATCCATTGGAATTGGGGCTGATATCCAAATCAAGTGGAATTCAGGCTGATGTCTGGATCAGTTGGAACTGGGGCTGATGTCTGGATCAGTTGGAATTTAGTCTGGATCAGAGAAGGTTCTGGAAGGGGAATGTTTGTAGTGGCATGTTCAGGTTGTGAGGTGTTGGAATCTGGGGGGATTTCACATTTTGTTGTTTGGAAAGAGGTTGCATGAAAAGGAAATCAATCAATCAATACTAAGACAAATTTATTGCTCAGCAAAACCAGATTATTGCAGGATTGTGACAGCTCATTAACGCTTGTGGGTCTCTGTGAAGGTGCCAGGGTTGTTCTGGGTGTGAATTCACTGGGCTCTTCCAACATTCCCCCTCCTTCCTCTCCTTCATGTGTGTCCTCAGCCCTTCCAGACACACAGAAAGGTTTTGTAACCAGCGCTGAAGCAAACCTTGCCTTTTCCTGTTGTGTTTTCTACAAGGACAGGAACCTCTTCCACTGGAGTTTCCCAGCACAGTCCCCTGGGCTGGTGGAACATCAAACACACACAAAGCCTGGCTGTCTGGGAGGAAAAACTGGGCTTATCCTTCAGGGAACCATCAGAGATGGTGATTTTCCAGCTTCTGAGGGTTTGGTTCCTCCATCTACCCTGGCCAAGGGGTTGGATCCCATTTCCCTGCTGCATAAAATCAGTTCTGAGCAGCACCAGGAACAGGTTCAAGCTTTGCCACCTCCCCAGATTGTGGCTGCAGGTCCTAAACCCCAAACAGCCCTTGCAAGAAGTGTTTTCCCGGCTTTTTGCTCAGGAAAATAAGAGCAAGTGGGTCAAGCTCTGCTTTAAATTTGGGATCTGGCACCAGTGGAGAAAACAGCTTGTTCCCAGGAAGTGTCTTCTCCTAAAAGAGCTGGACTCAGAAGGGAACCTCTGCCTGGTCCATCCCTCCAGCAGAGCAGGGAAGCAGCTTGTCCTTGTGCCCCTGAGCACAGTCAGGGAGGAGCTGGATCCTTGGAAATCCCTGGCTTTGCCAAGCTGCTCCTCAGGATTAATTTGGGAATAATCATCACCCAGCATCCCCCCAAAGCAGCTGCCCCCTGCAGCAGGGGCTGCACAAACACACCTTCACCTCACACCTCTCCAAAGCCCCCGTTTTCCTCCAGGCTGTCACCGTGGCTTTAAGCTCAGCCCAGCTGAGCTCTGCTTTGAGCTGCCAAATGCAGCTGGTTGGGGTTTCCCAGGCTGGGGTGCTTTGTTAATTAATGAGTCTCCTCCCAGGGCACTTTGGCTGAAGGGCCTTGGGGTTTGGAGCCTCCAGAGCTGGGTGGGTGGAGGTTGGGCAGCTCTGAACTGGTGTCTTTACTAAATATAGGATTATTTTGGCTTTTTTTTTTAGCAGGATGGGGGTGCTCCTTGTTTGGAGCAGTATGAGGTGGGATTTATTTCTCTGGGTGCACTGTACAAAATCCTGATGGGATTCTTGGGGCCAGGAGTTGGACTGGATGATCCTTGTGGGTCCCTTCCAACTGAGGATATTCCATAATTCTCTCTTTAGGGCAGCACTGCAGAGGGATTAAACCTTTACAAAGCCCTTTAGGGCAGTTTTTTTTAGATTTCCTGGCCTTGCACAACGATTGTGTCCAATGGTTTCCTTAGAAATGAGGTTTTTGAGGATGTTCTGGTTGATGGTGGGCTCTGGGAGTCACCTCCTGCCCCAACAGGGGCTGGTGTTGAGGGGGGCACTCAGCAATGTGACCCTTAAAATGGTGAATAAAGGGATGTTGTGTGTTTGCTGTGTCCTGGTGTGGGATTTGGGAGCTTCCCAAACCAAAGGAGCTCTTAAATCTGGTCCTTCCAACCCAAACCATCCCAGGATTCCATGTGGTGATGGGGGAATGGGCAGAAGGGAGTTGTGAATTTGGGGAGATGTGGTTTGGGAAGAAAATCCTGGGGGAGCTTAAGGATTTTAGCATTTCAGGGGTGTAATCCTGAAGTGGTTTGTGATGGGGGTTTTAAATCCTGCCTTGTAATTAAGTCAACCCACTGATGCTGCTGTGACTCCAAAGTTGACTGTGGTGAGAGGACCCCCTGGTTTTGGAGTGTGAGAGGAGGAAATAACTGGGGTTACACAAAACAAAACCCAGAACACCCCAAACCCACACTAACAACCCAAAACACAAGGGTTTGTTTGCTGCTGAGCACCAAGTGATGCCAAGATAAGCAGTGGAGTGATGCCAAGATAAGGGCTCCTGAAGGAACATCCCAAAATTCTAGTGCTGGGTTTGATTTAGCCCCTGGCTGTAGGTGCTAATTTGCTGATTTAATCCAGCCCGTGTTTGTTTTGCTGCTTAATTTAAAGGCAGGTTCTCCCCAGCAACCCTTGGCTTGGCACAAAGTGTTTCCTGCTGAAATTCTCTTTCAATTTTGATTCCCACCTCCCTAAAATGTGCCTTCTGGGGTTCATTGCAGGGCTCATTCCTCTCCATCCCGTCATTTGCTGTCATTACTCCCCATGTCTGCTGGAAGAAAGCTCAAACATGGGCTTAAACTATTATTTTAGGCTTGGCATGCCCAGCCTAAGCACATGTTTGGGCTGTGTGGGTGGAGAACTTGCCTTTGTGCTCTTCAGAAGCTTTTGTGGAAGTTCAAGTGCCTTTTCTCCCACTCCAGGTGAAATGTTCCTGCTTTGAACTTTGGAATTGGAAGGGCAGCAGTTTTGGGGTCTGCAGGGCTTTGATTTGGGCTGCAAAGTGTTGAGTCTTTCCCCTGGTCAGGTCTGTGCAGAGACCAACCTCAAACTGAGCACTCGCTGCTGCAGAAGGATGTGACACCTTTTCCATGGAAAACAGGGGCCTTGAAGCAGCCACTGGTGAATGGGCTGAAGGCTGATGTGCCTGTTCATGTCCAGCTCCAGAGAAGGAGTTCCCTGCATTTATTTGTGCAGACTGGAAATTATTTGGGAGGGAAAGGCTCTGGAGGCCTCAAAGCTGGGCTGCTCAGAGATTGCTCAGCTCCTGGCCTCAATGGCTTTGAGCTTCTCCAAGGAGGTTCCCTAAAATATTGTGCCCCTGTTGGAGCACCCTCATG